CCATCCATGTATCACTCTATCACATGAATTACCAGCCCGTCTGATCATACGTGTGTTTTCCATGATAATCTAGTTCTTCTTCTTCGGTTTCTTTCATCATCATGTGACAGTTTCTCCGACTCCGTCAAAGGGAAAAGTCACATGACCACAACATGATCAGCTGTTTCTTCATCTAAAGAATTTATATTTAATAATCAATGATCGTCATGAAGCAGGAGCTGGACTCTGACTCAGGTTCTTCAGAATCACAACTTCTGACTTCTGACCGTGGTCATGGCGACCTGTGATGGTGGACACGTAGCCAACATGCTAATGCTCACACACTGAATCCACATGAAGTTTAAACACATGAAACTTTATTATTTTCTCTGATGAACACTCACAACAGAACTTCTCAGTCAAAATAACAATGATAATAATTCATCTTCACATTTTAACACAAACATCAAGTAAATCTTATTTTCTTATTCAAACACTGAGTCGATTTTTAAAGGTTCCTCATTCAGTGACTTTCTGTGCAACATAAATAAACGTTATTTAGAGACGTGAACTTCATCTGCACCTGAGTCCGTCCCTCTGTGCACCAGAGCTCCAGGAGACATTTGGTGACAAGAGGTGCTGTCGACCGTCAGATGCAAATTAAAGGGACATTCAGACGATTTACTGACTTTAAGACTGAAGCAGCTTGAGACACTTTGACTTTGGGTCAAACTCCAGAAAAACCTAATCCCATAGCTCCCATAATGCAACTGTGAATTTCATTCTGACTCACTCTGAACACAGAGCTGTAACATGAGAACATGTATGTAAAAAAAAAAAAACATCAAGTTTTATTCAGTTTTGAGACAAAGGCTGAACCAGCTTTAAAATCTTTATTTCTAAAATAACAGGACTTCATAAACCTGAAACCTTCGTCCTGGTCGGAACAGAAACAAAGACACCAGCTGAGCTGAAGCTACAAATTAAAGCGAACCCTCGTGAGGCTGCAGCCACGTACGACGTGTTCACACTCAGCTAAAGCTGTAAAAACACTTCTGAGAGAAATCTGCCCCCAAACACTGATGTGACTGAAACCATCCAAACTCTGTCTGCTCTGAAAGTTTAGACCTGACCTGAAACTGCAAGACAACCAGAAACACTATCTAATCAAAGTGAACCAGGAAGTAGACCAGACCAGAAATAAAGATCAGGATTAAACCCATGCACTGGTGGAGGAGGAGATCCTCCTCCGACCCTCTGATGCTCTTCAGGATCAGATTTCCTCAGCCCTCACCCCTCGACTCTCTCTGATCCAAACTCCTGGAGTTATGGAAGGAGGGACGTGCTTTTTTCTCCTTATTCTTCCTCTCTTCTGTTTTTTTCTCTTTGAAGGAGGGGTCCATTCTTGTCTTCCCTAAACGTGAGCGGCAGCAGCGGGGTAATGAGGGTGCGTCCTCAGCCGGTCTGGTCCCCAGCACCTCCCAGTTCTTCAGGCTCCCATATAAAAACCCTGGTGGAAAGTGAGTGGAGGCAGTAGGGAGTTTTCTGCTGGGGTCAGGAGGACTGTGAACAGACGAGCGGACCCTGCCCCAAACACCCGTGTATGAGTGGAGTGTAGCAGAAAGAGAAAGCATCCCCAACTTTTTTCCTCTCGCCTCAAAGAGTCTACATGTCTAGTGGCATCTAGATATGTTCAGCTTTGTGGATTTGCGGCTGGCGCTGCTGCTCAGCGCAGCAGTGCTCCTGGTCAGAGCGCAGGGCGAGGACGACCGTAAGTTTCATCACTTTACTGGAGCTTCTCAACCCTTTTTGCTTTTTTTTTTTTCACTGGTTTTTGAAAGTGGATTTTCTCTCCGTGGGTGGACGGCTGCTGAGATCTAGACAGAGAAGAGAAGGAAGGAAAGAGTTTGAAGTAGAAATGAGCGTTTCGATGTTTGCTGCTGCTTTGTCCCCACAGAGAGGACAGATTAGAGATTACAGATGGAAAGTGCAGCTTGTAGTTCAGACAGCAGTGTTTACGTAATGCATTGGGCATCTCAAGAAGGCCTCTCTCCCCCCCTCTCCTTGTGTTTGTCTCTCGACCCCCCACCTCCCCCACATGCATGCAAAGCGAGTTGCTGCAGGTTTTCCATGCTTCGCTCCAGGCACTGGTTTCTGATGGAAACTTTTTTTACGTTTTACAGATTTGAACCCAAACAGCTGGTAAAAAGAACAAAAAACTAAAAAAACAGATTATTTTCATCTAGAAAAGCGGAAAGCTTCAGTGGCCGCTGATTCTCTGGGCTCCAGACTCTTCAGAATCAACCTCTCGATTAAAATGGATGTAAAACTGCAGGAAAATTGGCAAATTTGGCAACAAATTCTGCAAATAAAATGGCAAATAGCTGCTCACAGGACCCGACTGATGTGGCAGTGATTCACGGCCTGAGGCCAAGTGGTGAGTTGGCCAGGTGAGGGAGGGAGAGTCACATAGGGAGGATACAGCGAGAGAGAGAGAGAGAGAGGGCTTGGTGGTGAGCAGGCGTAGTCTTGTCTGCTGGAAACATTTGACCTCTGCAGCCTGAGCAAGCTGTGACATTACGCAGCACAGACATGTTGTCCGGCGGCTCTGAGACGTGTGTCCGTGTTTAGACACAAAGATTTTCCTCCTGCAAGAAGACAAAGAAAATCCGTCTCACAGCCTCTGGAAACAAGAACCGAGGGGCTGAGGCTCTATTTTTCCAGATGTTCCTCTGGACAGGATTCAGCTGCCTGTCTGTCTATCTGAAGCAGATGTGGTGTGACCCTCTTGATCTGTGTCACAGCGCCACCTAGAGGCTTCTCTCGCCACCTGCAGACACATCTGGCCGCCACGTCCCCCCCTCCCCCCTCCCTCTGCTTCTTTCCACTCGGTTTTTTTCTGTTTCCTCTAATTACAAACACATGCGGATGGTTTCCACCGGTCGCTGCCAAGCCGCCAGTCCGCGGCGCTGCAGCTTCCCCCCGGTGATCTCAGCGCTTTGGCACGAGCCGTGTCGCCCCTGAGAGGAGCCCCCAGTCTGGGCTGAGCTCTGCTGGGAAACTGCGGCGGTGGAGCTCAGGTCGGAAAATGTGACCGAGTTCATTTTGTGATAAAAACGAAGTGAAGCCCCTCTGAGGTCTGTGCGTAAAGAGCGTGGCACCGTGCGTAATGACGCTGCACCCAAACTCTGAACCCGTCTCCTCTCCGGCTTCAAGCTTCTTCGTGTTTCTGTCTGGATGCTTGCGTCACAGTTTTCATGTTGTTTAATCTGAGGCGTTTTATGACGTCACCTCCAAACCAGAAGTGACACGTTCTTTATTTAGGGTCAGACTTTTCATATACCATCAAAACTCTAGTTTCATTTTCACGTTATAAAGGTTTGAGTGTTGCATTAATAATCTAATGCAAAGACAGAATATTTGTGTTTATTGATATTTATTTGTTTCTTGTTTAATTATTAGTTAAATCATGAAATTTATTAATAATGTTGACTTTTAATTTTTTAATTTTGATTTCATCTACATCCTCGAGTGTGTGTGTGTGTGTGTGTGTGTGTGTGTGTGTGTGAGAGGCCTGCTGTGTCTCACCTGCCCCTCTGCTCTCTGTCGCCCCCTCAGGCGCGGGCGGTAGCTGCACCTTGGACGGCCAGGTGTTTGCGGACCGGGATGTGTGGAAACCGGAACCGTGTCAGATCTGTGTGTGTGACAGCGGCACAGTGATGTGTGATGAGGTCATCTGCGAGGACACAACCGACTGCCCCAACCCCGTCATCCCCCATGACGAGTGCTGCCCCATCTGCCCCGACGACGGTACAGTTCCATTCTAATCTATTTAGATTCTATATTGTGTTCTATTTTAATCTGTTTCTGTTCTATTCTTTTTAATTTGTATTGTATTTAAATTTATTTCTATTCTAATCTAATCTATTCTATTATTATATTTTATTCTACACACACACAGTGAATCAAATGAATTGTCTGGGGAAATGTTTTTGTATGATTTGTATTTTTCATATTCTAACGTTCCACCTCTGTTTGTGTCTCAGGTTTCCAGGATTCTCAAGTTGAGGTAAATATCGAGGATTCTTTATTTCACTTATTGGCTTTATATTTATCATCATCACACAATAGTAGAATCCAGTAAAACAAAAATGACTGTGGATTGTAAAAGTGATAATGGATCAATGACTGATGGTTGATTGTGACATGAAATGACTGAAGTGTTGTTTATTGGTCTTAACTGAAGTGTTATCGATCATTGATCAACTCTTTATTGATTATATCACATTCTGATATATTATCTTATCCTCTTTTCTTTTTGTTCCCGTACAGGGACCCAAGGGAGAGCGTGGACCCAAGGGAGACAGAGTAGGTTCACATTCTCTTCCTCCCATGATTCAAACCTTGGTTGTTGGTCACCTGAGGGCCTGTTGGTGCGTTTGAGGCCTGTGTGTTCATGTCGACGCAGCTGAACTGACTGAGCTGTGTGTGTTGGCCTCATCAGAGCAGCACAGACACACTCACCAGAGTAAAGAGAGTTTGAAGCAACACAAGTAACGACACTGCTGAAAATCAGGCCCAGTTTATTTACTGTTCCACTTGTCAGACTTCAGCAAAAACATTTAATGATGCATTTTGCATTTTTCCTACAAAGCAACTGCACCGAAGTGTCGACGTCGTTTTAAAGGACGAGAAGTTTGACTTGTCAGAGTTTGTTATTTGCTGAGATCAGAAACATCTTTAAAATGATTGAGTTATTTTATTGTTTTAATTCTGGTTGTCAAGTTTAAACCAGAGCACAAAGGTGGCGTCCATGTTTCTGTTTCTCCTGCAGGGTTTAGAATGTACTTCACACTGTGGATTCCTGCTTGAGAGTCTGATCTAATCTGGATTTGGTTCAGAGGGAAACAGTTTTTCTGTGTTACTGAGGTTATTTCTCATGAAGAAACACAAAGGTCATTTATTATCTTGGGCCTGTGATGGCGGCAGAATTCCTTTTTTTTTAAAAACAAGTGTATTTACTCACTTCCTGTATCCTGGTCACATGAGCACCAGTCCACTCCTGGTTGGTCACATGTTGTCCACTGCGTCTCCTCTGGGTTTGATGCTGCTTTAAGATCCTGTAAAGAAACAGGAGACAAAGAGTCAAACACTTCAGCCCTTTAACTCTGACTCTTGAGCCTGACCCCTCTCTTCTCTCCTCCTCCACCTGCAGGGTCTTCCTGGTCCCCCTGGTAACGATGGCATCCCTGGTCAGAATGGTCTGCCTGGACCTCCCGGCCCCCCTGGACCCCCCGGCCTCGGTGGAGTAAGTTCTCTCTCTCTCTTCCTCTCTCTCTCTCTCTCTCTGTGTTTGACCAGTTTAGGTCCAAACTAACCAGTGTTTGAGTTTCAAACCACAACTGGAAGCAGACGTCACATAACTCAGGCTACAGCTTCTTCTTCTGTGGTGCTCAGACAAGTTTAGAACACAGAGCAAAAACATTTTCCAGCCCTCACATCCCATTACCCATAATCCTTTGTGCCTCTTCTGAAATGAACATTTGGCTCGCGCTTCATATCTCTGTGCACGGAGCAGAGCATGCTGGGAGTTAATGCACACAGGAGAGAGGGACTCTTTAGGGTCAGATCCAGTTTTTGGTTCAAATGACTGTTGGTTTTCACTCTGAGGTCAGAGGTCACGAGGTCGTCAGTGTGGATGGAGCGATGCTTCAGAGGAGTCGAGGAGCAGAGAGGATGTTGATGCTCGTTTGACTCGATATCAATCGATTTGATTATTAATGAACGTCTGAATGAATCATGGGAAGAATTTCACAGCCACAGTCTCACAATCTGATTTATTCGTGATGGTGAAACTCCCACACGGCCTCTGGTTTAGCTCCCTGTGCTAACATTACCCAACATTAACATAGTTCATCTTTTACCTGCATGCTAATTCCCCATGCTAAGCTAAAATGACACACCCAGTCTAATTCGGCATCTTTGTTACTGACTCAGTGCTAAAGATCTGCAAATATCAGTCTGATGTGAGAAGCTTCAGGTCGACACCGACCTCTGATAGTTTCCATTCTAATGGACCGTGCTAAGCTAGAGATTCCCACAATGAGGTGGAAGGTCAGGGTCAAAGGTCAGGCTGAGGTGTTTTTTGAAATGTGAGGTGGTCGAAGCCGAAACAGACGACAGAGCAGAATATTTACAGATGTTAGAAAACAGCTGGAGCAGATTAAACTGTGATGTGAGACCTGACTTGATTTTTTAAGAATCGAGGGTTTGAAGACTGAAGAGAAACCGACTCTGGGAACCTGCAGCATAATAATGTTCAGAGGCAACACAACACAGAAAAGATATTTCATTCATGTCGTGGAAAGTTCAAATCTAAACTCAGTTTTAGGAAATGACACTTAAAGACCAGATGTCACATGACGGATGGTTTTGAATATTTCAGTGACAAATTATATTTAAACAAATAATGTTTGTGTTTGTTTTTCTTCCAGAACTTCTCCCCTCAGATGTCTGGTGGCTATGATGACAAATCCCCTGGCATGTCTGTGCCTGGACCCATGGTACACACACACACACACACACACACACACACACACACACACACACACACACACACACACACTGTCCATTCTAAATGATGATGATGCAGTGTCTGAGCTTGCCTCTGTTTGATTGACAGGGCCCTATGGGACCCCGCGGACCCCCTGGACCTGCTGGCTCTAGTGTGAGTACACAACTTCCTCCTTCGCCAACTGAGAAACATGTTTTTCTAAATCTAAAGACAAAGCAGGAACCTCATGCAGCGTCATGACATCATCGTGAACAGAACACACAGATAATTTCACTACAAATGGAACTTCAGTTAAACTCTTGAGCTGAACACAAACACACAAAACTGGAGAAACAGCATCCAACACACTTTTCTGACTGTTCCAGTGATGGTGTTTTGTTTCCTCCTACAGGGACCTCAGGGATTCACTGGCCCCCCTGGTGAGCCTGGCGAGGCTGGAGCTTCTGTGAGTTCTATGAGACCATGAAACAAATACACACTTACACTGCACCTTGTTAGTCTGAGGCCATTCTCACCATGTTTTCCCGTGCAGGGTCCCATGGGTCCCCGTGGCGCTGCTGGCCCCCCTGGAAAGAACGGAGAGGATGTAAGTTCACTGGGCCAGTTTCTTATCTGTTTATATCATCTGTGATACAGAATAACTTCATCTGTTCATTTATCCCCGTTTCTTCCTTTCTTTCAGGGTGAGTCTGGCAAACCTGGCCGTGGCGGTGAGCGCGGACCTTCCGGCCCTCAGGTAAGTTACCATGGCGATGCAATTCATAGAGATGCAGCGTGAAAAGGTAAAACAGAGGTGTGATAGTAAATCCTGTCTTCCTGTCATTAGGGAGCTCGTGGTTTCCCCGGAACCCCCGGTCTGCCCGGAATCAAGGGACACAGAGTGAGTCAAATTCAACAAACCCCAAATGAGACCACCAGCATCTTCCTGACTGACGCCTGTGGACTAATCCAATGTCTGTCCCTCTTTGTCTTTAGGGATTCAGTGGTCTCGATGGTGCCAAGGGAGACTCTGGCCCCGCTGGACCCAAGGTGAGTCACCCGCTTTTCCTCAGTGTAGAAAGATCCGTTTTAAACACTCAGCAAAGAACAAGTGCTAAAAGAACAGAAGAAGAACCTCTGCACAGATTCATGTGATTCTCTCGTGAGTCGTAACTCACATTTAAAACGAATGGTTGAAGCAGTTATGATATGGCAGCCTACATTTCCCATAATGCACCCAAAAAGCATCTCTTATCAAGATGTGCTGTACTCAGTCTTTCTATTAGCCTGAGTTGTGGTCACAGTGGCAGCCATGTTGGCTCGTTGAATTAATATCACCTGCCTGTATGTTAATGTGTGTGTGTTTTTAGGGAGAGGCTGGAACTCCTGGTGAGAACGGAACCCCCGGTGCTATGGTGAGTAAAACAAACGTCCCCTGTCTTTGACCCGATGATGCCACTTTCAGAGATTGTATCTGACCGACTCTCTGTCTCAGGGACCTCGTGGTTTGCCTGGTGAGAGAGGTCGCACTGGTGCTACTGGAAGTGCTGTGAGTACACACACACACACAAACACACACGTTGTCTTCATTCAGCCAATCAGTGCGTCAGTGAGTGTAACAACCAATCATATTTGTGTGTGTGTTGCAGGGAGCTCGTGGTAACGACGGTGCCGCTGGTGCTGCTGGACCTCCTGTAAGTCTTTTATTCTCTAAAGCTCCAATGTTTTTTACGTATAAAACTTTCAATTATTGTGTCTTACTGTGTTAAATAAATCAGGCAGCTCCAAATCATTTTCTGTTTTATCCATGGAAGCATTAGCCACATGGACCTGCTACATTTGTCTAAATTGTATTGTTTCTTCTCAGGGTCCCACCGGCCCTGCTGGACCCCCTGGATTCCCTGGTGGCCCCGGAGCCAAGGTACAACTGAGCCCAACATGAGCCCAACCAATAATCTTCCATATCCTCTATTTTCAAAGTCTCCTTCATCTTCCTCAATCCTCTACAGCGCCAACCATCTTCTTCTTCTTCTTCTTCTGAGGTTGTTTCAAATGTCACTGACCCTGCAGGAAATTTGAAGCATTTCTCTCAGACAGTTGAATTTTAATTTCACCTTTGACCCAACAGGGGTCACAGAGGAATTCAGTTCTGTCCATATTCTATTCTCCTTGTTCACATCGGAAACGTGATCAAATTCAGTTTCAGTACAGATGCTAAATTTATTTTCATCCAAGTTTGTTGAAAAATAATAACTAGCAGTATTTTTTCCTAAATCTGGTTTGATTAACATCCACAGAGTGTTTGCATAATTTCCTATTAATGCAGAATACTAACATAAATGGATTGTTTGTATATAATCTTTTGTTTCACTTAATTTAGAAGTGAGAGACGTAATACTTCGAGTTATGAAACTTTTTACCTCTAACACAGTGTTTCCCAAACTAAAATCTTTTCTTTCTTTCTTATTTATTTTGACGTTGATAATTGATGCTGACATTTCTTCCATTTGTCTTTGACCATGTTGGATAATGTTTGTTTTAATTTGCTGTTGGTTTGGACGTGATAATCGAACTCTTCTGTGTTTCTTCTTTACTCAGGGTGAGGGCGGACCTCAGGGTAGTCGTGGACCTGAGGGCCCCGCTGGAGCCCGTGGTGAGCCCGGAAGCGCCGGACCCGCCGGAGCTGCTGGACCAGCTGTAAGTACTGATGACAATGTTTTCAATGATTCTTGTCCAGAAAGTCAAGAATGATGATGAAACGACTTCCTGTCCTTTGGGCCTCTGAAGTAAAACTGTTCCCCTTCTTTCTCCTGCCAGGGAAACCCCGGAACTGATGGAGCCCCTGGAGCTAAGGGACTCCCTGTGAGTATTCTACTTGTGCATTTCTCTCACATGCATGTCAGGGTTGACGGTTTAAACCCATGTCTATCCCAGAAGCTTGAGCAAGGCACTGCCAAAGTAGCCAGGGCTGGAGTTTCATAGTTATCATCACATTACTGCCAAGACCGTGCAGCATGATCTGACTGTATTGTTGCCCTGTGCTGCCCCCTGCAGGGTTCTGCTGGAGTTGCTGGAGCCCCTGGTTTCCCCGGACCCCGTGGACCCCCAGGAGCTCAGGGTGCTGCTGGTGCCACTGGACCAAAGGGAAACACTGTGAGTAAAGCTCTGTCATGACTATTTTTATTAAATCTGTCCCTTGTGGATGTTTACTCCAAACACAATGAAGTAAAAACAAATGTAAACTTCGGTTTTCTTCTGGTGTTTGGACGTTTGTTGTTGTTGTTATTGCACTGACATTAGTTTTTGTTCTACTGTTTTTGTTTGTTTGTTTGTGTTTGCTTATTTGTTTGTCTCCATCAGGGTGAGGCTGGTGCCCCAGGAGCCAAGGGAGAGTCTGGTGCCAAGGGAGAGAGTGTAAGTTCCCCACAGTCTGCATCAAGCATAGCACCTCACTCTCTTTGCCTCTCACACATTTATACACATCTGTTAATGCCGTGCCAACGATGTGTGTGTTCTCCAGGGTGTCGCAGGAGTTCAGGGCCCCCCAGGACCTTCCGGTGAGGAGGGCAAGAGAGGAGCCAGAGGAGAGCCTGGTGCTGCAGGAGTCCGTGGACCCCCTGGAGAGCGTGTATGTATCTCAAAGAGAAAAAGCTTGGAGTATCTAAATATATCTTTTAATCTTTGCTAAATCACTATTTTAATGGCAGTCATTTCCCTTTGATTTAAATGTTTTAGTTTAGAATAATTCTTATATGTGAATGTGTAGTCACAAACTGTCTGATACTAATTTGATTAAATGATCTTCTCTTTAAAACAAGGATAGGAAACATAGGCCACAAATGATGCAGGCATCATGTAAACAGTCTAGAGTCTAGAAAAAGATGAATTATAAACGCACACACTGAAAAACTGATAACAAACACATTGTAGGTGATGGACAGACAGGGGCATAAAATACACAGTATAAATAGCTTACAATTGGGGTTGCAGGGTTTCAAAGCTGCCACTAGGGTGTAATCATGTCATAGGTGTCTTGACACCAGCTGCTTCTTGATTCCCCCACATCTGGCCCATAATGCACCTGGCCTCAAAGTGTTGGGTGCAGTTTTATGGCGCTGTGATTGTGTTAATACATAATGAAAACACAAAAAAGCCCTGATTGCATCAATGTTAACAAACAGCTCAGATGATACAGTAGCATTAAATCTTTGTTCATAGCACTAAGCCTGATGTGCATGTTTCCCTCTGTAGGGTGGTCCTGGCGGTCGTGGTTTCCCTGGCTCTGATGGCTCTGCTGGAGCCAAAGTGAGTGAAACATACACACATGCATTTGATTCTTTTTTGCAGTTCACTTTTGAGGTGCAATAGATGTAACCTCTTCCTGCCCATCATAGGGTGCCCCTGGTGAGCGTGGTGCCCCTGGTCTTCTTGGACCTAAAGGTTCCACTGGTGAGCCTGGACGCACTGGTGAGGCCGGTCTCCCTGGAGCCAAGGTGAGACACCCTACTATTGATCACATAATTCTCAGAAACATGAATTAACCAGTGTCCAGGTTCACCTCTGACCACTGACCTCTGATCTGTAGGGTATGACTGGTAGCCCTGGCAGCCCTGGACCTGATGGCAAGATGGGAGCCGCTGTAAGTACATTTTCAGAGTAATAAATTGGATCCTAATCTTATCAAAACATTTAGGCTAACTTTTTTAAGTTTAGGCATTGTGAATTCATCCTTAATGGATCATCTGTAACAGGGTGCCCCTGGACAAGATGGTCGCCCTGGACCTCCTGGCTCCGTCGGAGCTAGAGGCCAGCCTGGAGTTATGGGATTCCCCGGACCCAAGGGAGCAGCTGTGAGTAAAATGTCTGCTACACAGTAACTTCAACTGTTTATGAAGATTTCTATCAGTACTGACAACAAGGATATTCATAACATGGTCTCCACATCTCTGGTAACTTTGTTTTTCTATTCCTATCTGTAGGGTGAGGGTGGAAAGCCTGGCGAGAGAGGAGTAATGGGACCCACCGGCCCCGTTGTAAGTTGTCTACACTATGTCACTCCTTGATTCCACGATACTCAATTGTTTTGTTGTTCTGTATAGAACCTGTTTATCTAAATATCTACCATCTTTCTACTCAGGGTGCCCCTGGAAAGGATGGTGATGTTGGTGCTCAGGGTCCCTCTGGACCTTCTGTAAGTAAACAGAACCACACTAACATCCAGCTCAGCTGCAGTAGCCCCTAAACATCACCTAGATCTGGTCATTTCTGTTTTTATCTGACGGTCACTCTTTGACTTATCCACAGGGCCCTGCTGGTGAGAGAGGAGAGCAAGGAGCTGCTGGAGGTCCTGGATTCCAGGGTCTTCCAGGACCCCAAGGTGCTGTTGGTGAGACTGGCAAGCCTGGAGAGCAGGTACTGACGGAGATATGATTTGCCTGTACACTCTGAGGAAACTGATTTCCTTTCATGACATGACACATTCAATTTGTTCCACCTCTGTTTCTTGAACAATCCAGGGTCTGCCCGGTGAGGCTGGAGCCACTGGACCCGCTGGAGCCAGAGTAAGTCATTCAAAGGAGATTATTTTGT